GGGGACAAGCACATTCAACCAGCAGACATGAGTCAGGTCACCAGAGGGCAAGTCCAGACCCAGCCAATGGGGCAACAAGCCAGATATGAAGCAGGGGGATAGAAGAGTGATCCTGGCAGAAGGCACAGCAAAAGCAAAGGCTTGTACTCAGGCCCAGGGCACATGTGGGATAACCACACACTTGGGTGGCGCACAGAAGGGGGGGCCGTGGTGGAAGAGGTGAGGCTGGAGAGGATGGGCAGGAGGGGAGCAAACCACAGAGAGGCCCAAAGGTTATGTTCCGAAAATATCACTCTAGTTACCAGAGGAGAATGGGTTCTGTGCAGCAGAGGAGAGGTAGACCTTAAATCTAACCCGAACCCTAACCTTACCCATACCCTAACCCTAACCCTAACCCTAACCTAACCCTAACCCCTAACCCTAACCCGTACCCTAACCCGTACCCTAACCCGTACCCATACCCTAACCCGTACCCTAACCCTAACCCGTACCATAACCCATACCCTAACCCGTACCCTAACCCGTACCCTAACCCCTAACCCGTACCCTAACCCGTACTGTAACCCGTATCCTAACCCGTACCCTAACCCATACCCTAACCCTAACCCCTAACCCTAACTCTAACCCCTAACCCTAACCCGTACCCTAACCCTAACCCGTACCCTAACCCGTACCCGTACCCTAACCCTAACCCCTACATTAACTCTAACCCATACCCTAACCCTAAGCCATACATTAACCCTAACCCGTACCCTATTCCTAACCCATACACTAACCTGTTGCCTAACCCTAATGTGTACCCTAACCTGATCCGTACCCTATCCCATACCCTAACCCCCACCCTAACCTGTACCCTAACCCTAAATCCTACCCCCAAACCATAAATCCTATCCATGACCCTATCCAAAACTGTAACCAAAACCTTGAATTTTAACCCCTTTCTTATTTTTCCCTGCCCTGGAGTTTCCTTATTCCCACCCATGTGCATCGTCTTCGTTCCATGGAAAGTTCATCACCCTAAAATATTTCTGAGTCTCAGTTTTAACTCTGCACAGCTCAGTCCCATTCGGAATGGACAAGCTGGTCCCAACCCACCTGCTGGTCACCTGGCTGTTGGGATCAAAGCCCCACAACTATTTCTTTGGGAGCAGTTTTAATGTGGTGACTATTAGCCCCAGGACCAGCTGCCTGTTCGATCCCCAGCTTTGTCAGCCCTCACAGGCGTCTATTATAGGGAGATAACAAGTTATCTAACATTTAATCCACTGCACAGGCAAGGAAGCCCACTCTCCTCCAGCTCAGCCTTCAAAGGAAATAGGTATATTTGAGTTAGTACACGTTTAGAAATGGAGAGATTCCATGTACCCCCAACAGCCCGCTCCTGAAACCAGGCTTCTCCTGAACTTCTCACTGTACAGATCCCTGGGTACGTCCCTGTGTGGGACGTGTGTGTGCACTATGCAGTGATCATCCAGTTTTGTGTGTCCAGGGCCCTACAAGCCAGTGCAGTTCTGACCTCCTCAATGTAGTGACCTTCTGAAAGGAGGGGGCACACCCCTGAAAATCGTTCCATGGTGGCAGATTTCCACGTTTGGACTGATTGCACACTGGGGATGCTGACTTGCACAACAATCAGTGCTCCCAGCTGTTTCATTGAAGGGTACCCCAGCAAGTCTGTGGAGCCCTATAATGGCAAGGATGTGCAGCTTCCTCCAGCTGGGCCTTTAGGGGGAATATGTGCATTTGGAATTAGGCAGATATCAGGTGTTCCATGCAGCCCGCTCCTAGGGCAGGGCCTCTCCCTAGAGCTGACCTATTCCAGCTCCCTGGCTCCCCAGATCTGCCCAGCTTGTGCACGCACACCACACATCCTTCAACCTGCAGAGGGCAGCCTGAGGCCCACGGGTCTGTGGAATCTGTCTGCATACCTCCCGGGGAAAGGGTTACACCCCTGAAAATCTCTCTCAGCAGCACCTTTACACTGACAGCAGTCAGACCCCGTTTGGACCAACTTCCTGAAGGGGCTCCGGGCCTCTCTTCTTAAACACAGCCCAGACAATCCCTCACTCTCACCTGCCTCTTCCAAGGGCCTTGACTTAGGGTCCATCTTGTCTGATATGGGGATGGCACACCACTCTCCACTGGTTAATGTCTGTATGGAGGATCTTTTCCACCCTCTCACTTTAACCCTCTTTGTGTCACTGGGTCCCAGGTGAACCTCCTGGAGACAGCATGCAGCTGGATCTTGTCTTTTAAACCTAATCCTAACCCAAGCTCTGCCTTTAACTGGAGACATCCGCTCATTACTTCTAATGTAAATGAGCAGGAAGGACTCACTTCAGTCATTTCCTATGTGTTTTCTGTATGTCTTCAACTTCTTTTCACTGAGTCAAGATTTATTTCCAACCTTGAAAACATTTGGACTAATCAAAATGGTGCTGCTGTAATTTCTTATCCTACTTTAGTGCTTCGTATAGAGATTTTCAGACATAGACACAGTGACCCAGCCCGACAGCACGTGGTAAGAGTTACAAAGGCCTCGGCTATTTAACAAAACCGAAAGTGACAACCAAATAATGCAGCACAGGACTTGCGCGTCCTTGATGAGGACACAATCAGGAGCAAGTTATTCAACCAAACCAAATGCAAATTTGTTTTTACACTTTTCATGTTTACTTTTAGTCTTTGCTTCCTACAGCCACTGATAATTGAGGAAACTTTCTTTCAAGTACGGGATGTCTAAATATTTTTTTAAGATTTTTATTTATTTGAAATAGAGAGTGAGCAGGTGGAAGGGCAGGGGAGAGGGAGAAGCAGGCTCTCCACTGAGCTGGGAGCCCCGTGCGGGGCTCAGTCCCTGGACCCGGAGATCCTGATCTGAGCTGAAGGCAGAGGCTTAACAGACTGAGCCACCCAGGCGCCCTGGGCTTTCTAAATATTTCACAAAAGAAGAAATGAAAAGGCCACAAACTACAAATTCCTACACCAAAAAGGGAAACACGACCCAGCTGCATTTACCCGTGTCCTCGCCCCTCAGCACCGCAGGAGGCCCGCCCAGCGCCCGCCGACCCTGCGGCCAACCAGCCCTACCCAGGCCTGGCCATCCCGGGGAACCTCCCGCATTCCCTCCCGGCACCGCGCTAGCCAGCCCTTACCCCGGAGGGGTCCTTCAGGCCTCGGGCCGGGCAGCCCTCCTGCGGGTCCTTGTGCGGTTGCGTAGCAGCTGCGAGGACGCGAACGGAGCCGGAAGCGGAGTGCGGCGCTGAGAGAACCCGGCTGGCCCGAGGGGTCCGAGGCGGGACCGGGGCGGAGCGGGACCGGGGCGGGGTGGAACGGGGACCGGGGGACGGGGCGGACCGGGGACAGGGGCGGAACAGGGACTGGGGCGGAGTGGGATGGGGGTGGGGCGGACCGGGGCGGGGTGGGGCGGGGGACGGGCGCCGACTGGGACGTGGCTGGCCACCGGCGGGCCCACCGGGGGAGTCCGGGGTCGTACCTCGTTTCCCTCAGGTGGCAGGCCCAGCCTTGGGATCCACCGTCCTTGGGCCCCGGGCGGGAGAAGCACGGATCGTTGGGTTCATTCCGCGGTGTGGGGGCGAGGGCAGTCCAGCCTGACAGGGAAGGTTGGTTCCCAGATGTGTTGGGTGCCCAAAAGATGTTGGTTGAATGAAAGAGACCTGGCGAAGTGGATGGCGGAGCGCCAGCTGTTGACGGTCTTCGAGCCTGGAGTTTAGGTCTGGGTTTGGCTTTGGAACAGGTCCCTCTGCTCCAGGGGGAGATGGAAGGGGCAGCCCCTCGCTATGCTCACCAACCACCTACCACTCGCCGTACACGGGTCATGAGATGAGGGTACCTGGGTGAACAAGGCTCAGCCCCTACCTGAGCAGCGGTACCGTCAGGGAACTCTGGGTCCTGTGGGCATTTTCCACCCCGACGGGGTGCACACCCGTCCTAGCTCTTGCCACAGGAGACTCTGCCAACATTGTGTCTCCTTTCCTCTGAGCCCAGCACAAGGTCTGCTCATGGGGAATCGAGCCTGAAGGCATCATTTCTGTGTGCCCCCTTGGCTCAGAATTGGTGCTGTTGTGCGTTCTTAGTACAGTTTGAAAAGTTGTATTTGGCAGTGGGGAGAAAAGAAACAGCTAGAGATGATGTCACACCTAGGTGTGGGCACCAACTGATGTTTGGGGTGGGCAAGAATTAAGTATTCGTTTTTCATATGTTATTTGTCCCTGTGTGGCAGAACCTACTAGTCCAAATCTGGTAGGCCATGGCCTGAGTCTGCTGCCAAGGGAAGCAATGTTGGTGGAGGTGCAGATTTGGCGTCATCACTATTTAGGAGCTACTTGAAACTACTAGAGATTGAAATAACCCTAGAGAAGAGGGTCTGGAGAATGTCCACATTGAGAGAGAAAGAGGCAGCTACTGATTGCAGCAGGGTGAAAAGTGAAGGGGAAGGTGGAGGCATGAGGCAGGTGATCAGGAATGCACATTAGATGTCTTTGGCTGTGTGGGCTGTCATTCAGCGATAAGAGTTTGGGCCTACAGAACACTGTCTCACATTGATTGTTTTGTTTTGGTTTTTTTTGTCTTGTTTTATTGGTGAGAAAGCTTGCCTATATACAACTTGTCAAATAGTCTTTCCAGGTGGGAGTGGGAGGTGTGGCCCTGAACAAAGCTGCCGTAAGGAGATGACATAGAGTAAACCACCCAAAGAAGATTTGGGTGGGGACAAGTTTCCAACCCCACAGTTCAGCAAGTGGCGGCCAGGTTGGTACTGAATAGAGAGGGCTGGAAGTGTGTCCTTGGGCCTTTATCTCATCAACTTCTCTCTCCTGTCCAGGAAGGGGAAAAAGTAGATTTGGTTGAGGAAACTTCTCATCTCTTTAACAATAGCCTCTTCTTGATCTTCCCAGACAGTGACAAGACCCCACACGCACACACCTACCCCGGGCTGAACGGCCAGGAGCCAATGGCCAGCGACAAACCCAAACCCTGTGAGCTCAACCAAGAGAAATACGATGCTGATGACAACGTGAAGATCATCTGCCTAGGGGACAGCGCTGTGGGCAAGTCCAAGTATGTTGGGAGATGACAGAAGAAAGACTAGGCCCAGAGCAGGTCGGGGTGGCACAGAAGAGCATGGCTTCTATAGGGGTGATAAGGGTGTAGTCTTGGCTGGAGCCCAGGTGTGTAGGGGAAACAAGGGGGATCACAGCAGCTGTGTGTGTTGGGGAAGGGGGAGCAAGTCATAAGGACTGAGTAAATAGAGCTTTCTCCAGGAGTCTTGGCCGCAGATATGGGACGGCTCACCCTGGAGACTACTGAAGCAGTCCAGGGTGAGGCGGTAAGAGCTGAGGGATCCTGCATGTTCTATGTGGGCCGAGAGTCTGCGAGTGGGAATGGAGACCGATGACAGATTGATTGGAGGTACAGGTGCCTTCTTGGAGGAGCTCCCCAAGATGAAGCAGAGTGGAAGGAAATGAGGACTGACTGTGGTCGGCCTGGAGATTGGCTGACTCTTAACTGACTCCACTGCCCCTGTGCAGTTTGGGACTCCCCACCTGGTGAGTTGAAGGGGACTCTGCAGTGCTGGCAGATCCCACATGTCCTTGTCTGCCTTCACAGCAGGAGTGTAGACCACACATCTGCTTGAGTCCTGTCTCCTAGGTGCTCCAGATCTACCTGGTCTCCAAGCTTCACCATTCATTCCAGGGGCTTTGCTGGTTTTTAGGCCATCTTTCTAAATTCACATTCTCTCTGCCCCACCCCATATGCACACACTGCAGATCTAGTTTAGTGTTTTACGGTTGCTTTGACCATCCTCAACAGTTGCAGTTTGGGGAGATTGCCCAGTAAAGAACACCCCCTATTTCCCAGCCAAGTGCAGTGTTTCCCAGCAAACGGGGAGCAGGAGTGGCAGGAGGGTAAAGACTAGGTGGGGGCTTGGAGTGAGGCCCGAGGTGGCCTGCCTGCTTCCTGAGCACTGCCCAACCCAAAGTCCAGTGCTGGTTTCTTACAAGCCTCACTGAGGACCACAACAAAAAGTGAGAATCCGGGAGGCTAGCAGGATTTCAAATACCACAGCATTGGCCTCTATGGCCACAGCATCTGGAAGACAAGCAGGGCTGCGGGGCAGAAGCAGCAGGCTTTCTCTGTGGTGCTGTTCTTTGTCATGCAGCAGGTTCATGCCTCTTGATTCCATTTCCTCCTTGTGTCTTTGTTTTTGGCCCCCCAAGCCTCTGTTAAGGGTGGGTTCTAATGACATAGCTCTCTCACCGCCTTCACTCCTGCACGTACCCCCTTCCTGAGTTGGATGCTACTGCAAAATGTTCTCCCGTAACGACCTCTGACCTGGCCAGCTCATGATCTGATTGTCCAGCCTGGGTCCACTTTAATAGACATTTCACTTTACAAGTGCTGAGTACTAACAGGGTCAGACCCTGCTCCAGGTGATCAGTAAAAGCCCCTCTCTGTGTGTCCACTTATAACCATGTCATTTGGAGACCCTGCCAGTCCTCCATACATTTTCTTCACGTTTTCTGTACCCCTGGTCAGCAATGAGAGGAACCCATACTCCCTCTGTAGCTTCTCTTTCTGCAGCTCAAGAAACCATCTTCCCCTTGTGGGGGGGGGTGGTTCAGGCTATTTTGGGCCTTGCCTTTCTTTTGTGTGTATAGGTTTTTTTTTTTAAAGATTTTATGTATTTGAGAGAGAGAAAGCACAAACAGGGGGAGAGGCAGAGGGAGAAGCAGGCTCCCCGCTGAGCAGGGAGCCTGATGCAGGGCTTGATCCCAGGACCCTGGGATCGTGACCTGAACCGAAGGCAGATACTTACCGACTGATCCACCCAGGTGCCCCTCGGGCCTTGCCTTCCTTAAAGATTTCTTTGGACCCTGATGCTCCCTCTGCTTAATAACAAAACATGGCCTTTCCTTATCCACTCGTTGAGAGGTTAGCTCCAGATATGGTTTGCCCCCTTGACTCAATCACTTAAGCTCCTGGCCTCCCTTTTGGGGGGGGGGCGGGGGGAGTGGTGGAAGGATAACAAGGCTTACTTCACAATGTTTTCCGAGTGACTAGCCCAAGATCTGACACATGGTAGGTCTTCAGTGGGTCTTAGTTTTATCTTCCCATCTGCCACTAGTTTGACCTGATGAAGAAAATGAATAAAGACAAATCTTTGTTCAAAAACAGAATGGTTAGCTCCAGATGCATTGCCTTTTTTGGGTGATGGCTTTTAGGGTGTCATTCTCTCAGTGATCGCTGTCCACCGTTGTTCACAGAGGGCAAAGATGCACACCCTCTTAGGGTCACGTGGTGTAAGCACAGGCTGGAGCTGACAGGGGAGGTTAGGGAGCGGGACATACACAGCCTGACCCCTGTCCCGTGCCTTACTAACCCCAAGGGCCAGGAGGAGATGGGCTGGATGCCTGGGGACGGGGCCTCCAGAGAGGGACATGCTTCTGGGACAGGAGGGTAGGGACCATCACTCTTCCACGGCCAGCTCTGATGAGACAAGTCTCTTGAGCTCTGCCTTCCTCCTCCACTTCAGGAGCACATGGTCTCTCAAGGCAGTATCGAAGCACAGCCCTCTGGACCTCTGGCGGCAGTAATTTCACTGGGAGATTTTCCTACTTCCGTGTAAGAAAGTGGTGTATTTTCTTTATAATGTGGATGTTGTTTCTTGTCAATTATAAACAGAATCTACCATCCTTCTACAAGGGAAGCTACGGTTTAAATCTTAGAAATATAAAATCATGGCTAGAATGTATTCAATTTATAGACAGATAAGGATTGGCCCTTAATATGTGGGGGAAAGTGCAGTTGTAGTCTAATAGAGAGTGGTCAGGGCAGGCCTGTTTGCGAAGGTGACATTTGAGCGAAGGTTTGAAGAAGGCAAGGGAACAAGCCATGCGTGGGGAGGAGCATTTCAGCTAGAGGGACTGGCCAGTGGCTGGAGCAGAGGGAGCAGCGGGAAGGCAGTGGGTGAGGAGAGAGCAAATGGAAGCGGGCCTTGGGATCTCAGGAGGCTTGGAACTGAAAGAAACGCAAAAACATGGGATGGTTTGAGCCGAGGAGTGACCAAGTCTGAATAAGGTTCTAACTGGATGACTGACCAGGCTCAGAATAGGTGTTCCTCTCAATCACCAATAGATCAAGCAGGGAAAAAAGTAGTAAGGAAACATTTTGACAGCACATTTATCAAGGTTGATGATTCATAGAGATTATATTTAAGACTTTCTAGAATGATGACTAATTATGAAGAGGCCCTTTTCACTTATTGGTGCTTACTGATGCTTATTGGTCATTGGAAATCCTCCTTTGTGAAATGCCTGTTTAAGCCAGTTGCCCCTTTTTATTGGATTGTTTGTCTTTTTATTATTGACTTGTAGGAATATCTTCGGACATTCTGAACCTTCTTCTAATCTCTGCCTTTTCACTCTATTACTGGTGTATTTTGATGAACAGAAACACTTAATTTTAATAAATTGTTAAAAAATTAAATTTTTGAGATGTACTTGGTATTTAAGATTGTCATGGTGTACAACGTGATGATTTAACAAACATGTATTGCAAAATGATTGCCACGATAAGGTTTGTTAACACATCCATCACTTCACATAGCTATCTTTTTTTGGTGTGTGGTAAAAACGCTGAAGATTTACTCTCTTAGCAGCTTTCAAGTATATGATGCAGTATTGTTAGTTGTAGTCACCATGCTGTACACTAGATCCTCAGAACTTACCCACCTTATAACTACAAGTGTACCCTTTGACCAACACCTCCCATTTCTCTGTGCCATGGAATATCACTCAACCATTTAAAAAGAAGGGAATCTTGCCATTTGCGACAACATGGATGGATCTTGAGGGCATTATTCTAAGTGAAGTAAGTCAGAGAAAGACAAATACTACATGATCTTACATGTATGTGGAATCTTAAAAAATAAATACAGAAAAATAGAAGATGCAAGTTCATAGATAAAACAGATTGGTGGCTGCCAGAGGTGGTGGGTAGGGGTGGGGGTGAAGGGGGCCAAAAGGTACAAACTTCCAGTTTAAAATAAACAAGTCATAGGGATGTAATGTGTGACCTGGTGACTATAGTTAATAGCACTGTACTGCACATCTGAAAGCTTATTAAGAGAGTAATCTGGAAGTTCTCATCACAAAAAAAAAATTCTGTAGGTATGTGTGGTGATGGACGTTAACTAGGCTTATTTTGGTGATCATTTCGCAGTTTGAAAGAAGTCTTTAACTCATTTTGAGTTAATTTTAGGTGAATGGTGTAAGATAGAGATACAGTTTCATTCTTTTGTGTTTGGATTTCTATTTTTCTTAGCACCTTTTATTGAAGAGACCATCCTTTCTCTATTGTGTATTCTTGGCTCCATGGTCAAATACTTGACCATATATGTGTAGGCTTATTTCTGGGCTCTCTATTCTGTTCCATTGGTCTATGTGTCTGTTCTTAAGGGAGAATTATGAAGATTTGATCCTATATTTTCTTCTAAAATTTTATACTTTCAGCTCTTAAGTTTAGGTCTTTGATTCATTTTGAGTTAACTTTTATATATGGTGTGAGGGAAAGGGCCCACCTTCATTCTTTGGCAGGGGAATATCCAGTTTTCCCAGCACCATTTAAACGCCTCTTCTTTTCCCATTGAATGGTCTTTGGCACCCTTCTCAGAAATCAATCGACCATACATGTGAGCGCTTCTTTCCGAGCTATATATTCAGTTGGTCTCTATGTCCATATTTATGCCCAGTAGCATACTGTTTTGATCATTGTAGCTTTGATGAAGTTTTGACCTCAGGGAAATGTGAGTTCCTCAGTTTCGTTGTTCTTTCACAGGATTGTTTTGGCTACTTGGGATCCCTTGAAATTCCATATGAATTTTGGGATGTGTTCTTTTTTTTTTTTTTTTTTTTTTTGCAAAAATGTCATTGGGATTTGGATACAGATTGCATTGAATCTGTTAATTGCTTTGGGTAAAGTTATCTACCTTGAAACAGTAAGCCTTCAAATCCACGAACACTGATGTCTTTCCGTTTATTTAGGTCTTGTTTAATTTCTTTCAGCAGTGTACAAGTGCTATGTCTTCTTGGTTAAATTTCCTTTTCATATTGCTCATTGCCAGTGTATAGAAATAAAATTTATTTTTGTGTGTGGATTTTATATCTTGCAACTCCACTGAATTTATTAGCTCTATTACTTTTTTTGTGGATTCTTTAGAGTTTTCTATGTATAAAATTATGTTATCTTTGAAGAGAAATAATTTTACTTCCATCTTTGCAATTTGGATGCCTTTTATTTGCTTTTCTTGCCTAGGTGCTTGTGTTGAGAGCTTCTTGTAGCTAGTGTATTGAATTAAGAATATTCAGGTCCTTGATGGATGAGGGACATAAGCCACCCACACAGAGTCAGCAGGTAGTTTCCCTCAGCATCTGAGTGCCCACTTGGGAGAAGTGAAAACCCTGGGGTTATTTTGACTGAAGGTGCACTCTCAATATACCCCACAAAGGAAGTAAAGTCCCAAGATTTATTACTTAACAAATCCCAGAAGTGGGAGTGAAACGAGTCAGGGGACGAGCAGCCCTCCATCCTGGGTCACAAGTGAGCAGTACAGGGTGCTTGGGGTAGGGGTCACTAACTGTTTACTGGCTCAAATTGAAGTGGTTATTTATTTATTTATTTTTAATTTACATATTTCTTTTAAGTAGGCTCCGTGCCCAGCGTGGGACTTGAACTCACAACCCTGAGATTAAGAGTCACATGGTCTGCTGATTGAGCCAGCCAGGCATGCCCCCTAAGTGGTGATTTTAAAAGGTGCCAGGGAAAAGCAAAGTGGGAACTTGGAGCGGGCATCCTAAGGTCAGGTTCTTACCTGAATGTCCAGACTCGTTGTCAGCAAGATTGTCATGCTTGTCAGATACCTGAGGAGCAGGCTTTCATTCTTTTACAATTGAGTATGAGGTTAATTGTGTTTTTTCATATATGGCCTTTATCCCGTTGAGGAAATTACCTTCTATTGCTAATTCATTGAGTGTTTTTGTCATGGGATGGTGTCGGTTTTGTTAAATGCTTTTTGTGCATTTATTGAGATAAATATATAGGGTTTTCTGTCTATCAATATGATATGAGTGATTAATTTTCTTAAATTGAACCACCCTTAAATCCCAAGAGAAATCTCCCTTGGTGTATAGCCCTTTTAATATGATTTTGGTTTGCTATTATTGTGTTGAAGATTTTGACATCTGTATTTGGAGATAGAGTTTTCTTGTACGGCATTGTCTGCCTTTGGAATCAAGGTAATGTTGGCTTCATAGAAAGAATTAGGAAATGTCCCCTCCTTCAGTTTTTTGGACAAGTTTGAGAAGTATTGGTGTTAGTTCATTAAATGCTTGGTAGAGCTCTCCAGTGAAGCTACCCAGTCCTGGGCTTTTCTTTATGGGAGGTTTCTTTGTTTGTTTGTTTTTTGTGGGGTTTTTTGGTGTGGGGTTTTTTTTTTTTTTTTTTTGAGAGAGAGAGAGAGAGAGAGCACGAAAGGGAAGAGGGTCAGAGGGAGAAGCAGACTCCCCACTGAGCAGGGAGCCTGATGCGGGACTCGATCCTGGGACTCGATCCTGGGACTCGATCCTGGGACTCCAGGACCATGACCCGAGCCGAAGGCAGTCGCTTAACCAACTGAGCCACCCAGGCACCCTCTTTATGGGAGGTTTTTGATTACTCCTTACTTGGTATTGGTCTATTCACATTTTCTTCTACTTCTTAAATCTGTTTGGTAGTTTGCATATTTATAGAAATGTGTGTATTTCATCTAGATTATCCAGTTTGTTGGTATACAGTTGTTCATGGTATTCTCTTATAATGCTTTTTGTTTCTGCAAAATTGATGTTAGTGTCCAATTTCAGTTCTGATTTTGATCATTTGTGTCTTCTCTCTCTTCCCTTGGCCTAGCTAGAGGTTTGTTGATTTGTTGATCTTTTCAGAGAGCTAATTTTTTTCCATTGGTGTTCTCCCTTGTCTTTCTAGCCTCTTATTTATCTCCACTAAAATCTTCATTACTACCTCCCTCTCACAAGCTCATATTTAGTTTGCGCTTTTCTGTCTAGTACCTTAAGTACCTGCTACTGATTTGAGATCTTTCTTCATTTTTAAGGTATGTGCTTATAGCTATAATATTTGCTCTCGGCACATCTTTGGTTTCATCCTTAAGTTTTGGTTAGCTGTGTTTTCATTTCCATTCATCTCAAGGCATTTTCTAATTGTCCTTGTGATTTCTTTTTTGACCCATTGGTCAAAGAAGGGGAGTAGGAGAGGAGAAGCAGGCTTCCCGCTGAGCAGGGAGCCCAGTGCGAGCAGAGAACCCGATGCGGGACTCAATCCCAGGACCCTGGGAACATGACCTGAGTTGAAGGCAGACGCTTAATGACTGAGCCACCCATTGGTTGCTTGATACTGTGTTGTTTAATTTCCACACAGTTGTGAATTTTCTGGTTTTCCTTCTGTTGGGCATTTCTGGTGTCCTTCCATCTTCTTGGAAAAGATACTTTGATCTCAGTCTTTTTAATTTTATTGACTTTATGCTCTCACCTATGTGCCCTTGAGAAGAATGTGCACTCTGCTGCTGTCAGGGA